AGGTGTACCATTTGTTACTAGGAATTTATCGGACATAATATCATTTTGTTCCACTTGGGAATATCTTCCTGTTAGGAAATACACTATGAGCTCATTTATGTTTCCTCGAATACCAATCCTAAATACCTGATCTGATACGAATTTGATATTCAAGGTGTCGAAAGCTCTACCAAAATCAGAAAATGAATCGATAACAATGTTTTTTATCGATCAAATCGTGTATCTCTTGTTCAAAGTTTAGCGTTGCAGTCTCTATTGAGCGGTTTCTTCTGAATCTGTGTTGGCACTTTGTCATCAGATCGGATGTTTCCAGGTGATCATTCATTCTGTCAGATATAATGTTCCCAAAACTTCTTGAGAACACACTGATTATTGATTTTGGACGATAATTGTCGATATTTCTAATGTCACAATTCTCGAGTATAGGGACAAGGACCGCAATTTTGAAGAAAATACAGCCCTTCTTGTTTGCTCGCAGGTACCTTATTGTATTGACAACCGAGATAGCAGAAAATGTATCTCTGGACATTTTCTCATTCAAGGAAACCAGTAACTATCTCCAAGAATTTCCAACGTTTCAACGACTGCAAAATGACCATTATTGTCGTGGTTGTTCATTGTTACTGCTCCTCTTGCTACTTTCGGTACAAACCACCTCAAACCATTCAGTGCGACTTTTTATAGCCGATTATTTTTCAAAGTGTATTCTTAATGGAATTGTCGTTCGTTCGCATCTAGAAGAGGGTTGGATAGTACCTCCAGCAGTTTCTTACTTTCCTGGCCTTGACGTTGAGCAATCAGCAACCAATCTTCATCAGCAATATTCATTTGGAATAGATCAACTTCTTCCGTTTCTCGAGGTAAGTCGATCGGATTTTGACTCAATTCATCAACGTGTGTCATGTTCGGTACTCCATTATGAAATCTAATTCCTATGCAATCAACCACCATCTTTTTATCCCAGGTATTGAATCACGTTTCGTCATTGCCGTCCCAAATGCACAATACAATCAATAACAAATTCAAACTTCAAACCAAGCGAGAATTAACTCGGAAGCGTTTGAGGGAATTATTAGCGGCTAGAGTCTAATTCGTAAAAATGATACCACTGTTTGCCCTTCAAAGTTTGTCGGCTGAAGTACAGAACAGGTTCCATCTTGTCATCTGCTCGTTGTCTCTGCATAACAATACTTCGAAGGACAAGTTTTGAAGCGTCGGTGTGGAGCTCTGTATCTAGCTTTGAATCATAGATTGCAAGAACTGGTCAACTTGTGAGAATTTTCACGAGATTTTCTTTGGCCTCGGTTGTTCGTTGCTTCATTGAATTCGATATCTTGCTAGGTTAATGATGTTGGGTGAGCTATTTGTGCAAAACTTCGCACATATTTCCTGAAATAGCTCGTGCCTCGATTTTCATGCTGCCAGGCCGTATGCCGTCAGTACCAATTTCGTGACCAAGGTAGTCAATTTTCGTCTAGAAGAATTGACACGCCAACCGTTATGTGACTTTAGCATTTCGGAACCTAACCAACATTTCGAACGTCTGAAAGAGCTATGATCCACAATTCGAACTCTGTTGAAGGTACAAGGATATCGTCCATATATGCCAAAGGTGTCGTGAATCTCATAGATCCCAATATCTGGTTGATAGTCCTTCGAAACACAGCTGGTGCATTTGCCAACCCAAAGGGCATCCTCTCATTTTCATATTTTCCGTCTAGAGTGATAAATGCAGTCTCATGCTGCGGAATTCCTGATAACGGTATTTGATGATACGCGCTCGTATTATTGAGTGTAGTGGAATATTTGCAGTCCTTCGGGGTTTCAAGATGATCATCAACTCGTGAGAGTGGGTAACAGTCCCTGACAGTCTTCGCGTTTGGGGAACGATAGTGTACGTACATTCATTTTCCACTATTCATTTTTTTTTTCAACAAAGATTATCGGACTAACTTGAGAACTAGTTCGTTTTCTGAATGATTTCAGCAGAGATAAGGCTACTCACAATGATTTCCCGAACACTTTTCTTTCCGAATAGGAAGCCGATGAGGCCTATACGTTACTGGTTGATCGTCGTTCACGTGAATAGACATTTCAACTTCTTTGATTTGATCAAATGCAGCAAGGTTTCGTGCAGAACAGTCACGATATCCATCCATCAGCAACAAGAGTTCATGGTTTGTTACCATCAGAAATATTAGCATTGACATGTTTGTTCAAGTCAGTGGGAGTGAATTTGGGAAGATCACCTAATTGTGAAATATTGACGCTCACCTGTGCTCTCTCGTCATTTTCTACGTCAGAAACGCTGGGTACTTTTACTTCTGACAAATTTAGTATAGGTATTATCGAATAAGCGGCTGATGTTTTATATCTCAGAATAACGTACTCCTTGGATGACTCTGCAGTATAATGAACCGAAGTGATTTGGAAGTATTTGTGCATCACCATTTTATGCGAATTCAATTTTTCTGGGTGGTAGACTGTCAACTCGTGGACGAAGTGCTATATTGGATTCGAATAACACCGTCACACCATTTTCAACTACCATAATAGCACTTGCGTTGTTCGAGAATGTTCGCTAGATCAGTACAGCAATAGTCTGAATATCATCAGGTACAATCAAGGCAAGAACTCTTGCTTCAAACAGATACCCTGCAAGGTTTATTTCAACTGTGCTCAGAGCTTCCACTTCATCTATGCCATGTCCGTTAATCAACGTGGGGTATGTTCTCCAGGGGGGGCCAGTACTACGAGCGTCAATTTTTCTGACTTCGCATCCCGTATCGCGGAATACCTGCATAGAGTAACCGTTTACGAAGCAATCTACTAGGTAACATCATTATGCGATTCCATCGGTGTGTCGCAGTACATAGCTCTTCGCGATGGTCCTGGTTTGTTTCTGAGACAATTTCTTGATAGGTGCCTATACTGCTTGCAAGTTGTACACTCTGTTCTTGGCGTTGGACAGTTCGTATGTAGATGATCGTATTGGTTAGAGTTGTAGCATTTTTTTTTTCAGTTTTTGACTCAAATTTGGTTAGTGAAAACTGTCATTGGTTTCATCTGGTCTAATCAGTTGTTCTGGCCTTGCACGTTCTGAAGACACGCTCAAGGTCGATAAGTAATCTCGATACAAATCTTCGGGATTTTTTTTTCGACCTGCTTTGGCATCACACTGTATTGATGGGTCCTGGATACCATCGATAATCATGAAAACTGAACTTCCACCAGATATCTCAAATCCTGTCATCCTGCATTTTGTCGAAATGATATTCGTTCCAAGATTCGTTAGGCATGTTGTGTCTTCTTATAACCTCCATGGGAGCTGTTGAGAAGTATTGTTGATCTGGGAGAACTTGCAGTATTATGTTCTCCTAATAGTTGCATGAGTGCTTGTAATTATCCAGACTAAAATGTACCATGCTTTAGCCAGACTGCATGTGGTAGATTTTCGTTGTTTCATTCTAATGATTCATTTTAGCTGACTGGCTGTTTTCTTTTTAATCACTTCTGACAATTAACATTCGGATCACCAGGTGAAAGCTCAGGAATGCAATTAGCTCTTATGGATACGCGGGTGACATTTTGTCCGCCACTATTGTTCATCAGAACCAACTCTTCAAGTTGTTTAATCTGTTCCTGAGGGCAATGATCAATATTGTTTATCGAGGAACTGCTGTTTAGAGTAACGTCTACTTTGTCAGCACGTTCAATCGAATCAAAATCGTCTTGAGCTACACGGCTACAGGTTGTTTTGTTCTTGGATGTAGCGAACTTGTCTCGGTTGAAATGTTGGATGATGCCGGTGCATTTGAGTGTTGCATATTATCTACGACAACACTACGCACATCCTGATCATTCCTTTCATCATGAGACGTAACGTCTACTTCTGTTTGCCTGTTCCTAGTTGATAACAGGCGAGATTAACTGTCACTTTTCGATCTATCACCACGTTTTACCGCACCTTTCTTTGTGATTTTCGATCTTCTTTTGAATCGACCGGCACAATCACCATCCAAATCACTACTTGAATTACTACTGGAACTACTTGAACAGTCTTCAGTTTCAGTATGACGCTGATGTTCCTCCATTTTCAACTCACAGCACTAAATTCACCACGTTAAAAATGTCCATTCGAATATCCTCCATATTTAGTGATATTATTCCGCCGCTGCACTATAGCACACAATAAAACAGTATATTTTTATGGAGGTTATTGATACCAAAAATATAACAATAATAAAAGGTCTTCGTTCACGACTCGCTAACAACTGCTTACTTGATGCTTCACGTTCGTTGATCGTTACACAAGAACCATGTGTCAGTACATGAGTCAGTCGAATATCTCAGCAACAGAACAATACGGGGTGATGCCTTTCACATAGAATTCTAGCAGTAGAACTACGACGCACTCGTATTGACTCATCCACTTCATAAACATATATAGGTAAATCCTCATTATGTCGCTAGGCGGGAATTTGGTGAGCACGGAATGATATCACGAGGCAAATATCGGTCATTGGGGTCAGTAAGCATCAGGTAAAAGCTATTTCAGAGGAACGTCAATTTCGAAAAAAAAAACAGAGAATATAAGTCTATTAATTTGGACAATTACTGTTTCTTTGTGCTTCTCAATCTCTTCAATTGGGGCTGTTGAACTCTTATTGAAAAAGGTAGGCAGTTAAGAGTGATGTTGTGGAGCTACAACACTTCGAAAATTGCAAAAATCAGAATTTTCCAATCGCGCGTAGCATCTAGCCTACTTGACCGATTCCGTACTTTTTTCTTGATATGAGAGTGAAACTGCAACAAGGCCGAAAATATCGATGTTTTCTGGCTGCCAGAGATCAACGACAACCTCTTCGAGGTCAAAAACTTGGATTCGACAAAATCAAACATGTACAAACAACATACTTAGATTTCATTTTCCTCTAAATTTTTTTTTCACGACCCTATATATAATAGGTATTTCAACAATAGTTTTATCCTTCTTGCAGACATGGTGTGAGACAGAGTGCAGCTGCTGCATTCCTTCATCCTCACCGTGACAACCCCAATCTTCACCTGATGGTGAACTCGACCGTTACCAAACTCACTTTCGAAGATCACGACCAAGTGTCTGGCGTCGAATTCACTTACCAGGGTCAAACCCATAGGGTAAAGGCCACCAAAGAAGTAATTTTGGCTGCTGGACCCATCAACACACCTCACTTGCTGATGGTATCTGGAGTTGGACCAAAAGAGGAACTAGAAAAAGTTGGCATCAAAGTAATTCACGAACTAGAGGGAGTTGGCAAAAATCTCACTGATCACGTGTCATTAGGACTCATATATGACATGATTGCGTTGGGGTTGCATTTCAATGGAATGAACATCAATAATGTGAATAGGTATAAAAATGGAAGAGAAGGAGTATTCTCAGCACCAGGTAAGTATCATTTCTAGATTTGAGAGCTATTGTGATTATAATTGACCCTTATAGATAAAATCCAAATGTATGAACGACATCGATTCAGTAGTGGTAAAAACATCGCCCTAGGAGTTTCAGAATGGCTCATTTCTTCTCCTCATTCCAGGAAATTACGTTCGCTGGAAGAAAATTCTGGCCCCACCTTCTGTTATAATTATTGTATTAATTTATCCGCATTGAGGTGATTATAATCACATATCTACTGAAAGAAGCATCACTCATGAGTGGACTCTTTGACCATAGGAGTTCACATCTCCGAAAGATAGAGAAAAAATATTTCGTTTTATTCTGTCATGTTATCGCCCATCAGTATCTGGAGATCTAACGTAGGGTCTACGATGAATAGAGTATGCATATTCTGAATCTCTCAGTTTTGACATCGAGTCACCTGATTGGAATTGTTTATTTCACTCGACGAAAATCACGTTGTGCCACCTGTCAGCATAGTGATTGACTTGTAAAGCAAATCTGTGAGGTGTGACGATGGAGTTGTATGAGTGGGCTGAGGTGCATCGTCCTGCTGTGTATGGCTTAAGATTTGACTTCGAATTTGTTTATCTGTAACTACTACATAGCAATCAAACAACTAGATCTTCATCTATAATCTGGCGTTTTTCGTTAATTTTTCTAATCTCATTCGTAAAAATTGAATTGATATTTTCAGTTGGAATTTTATTGCCTCCGAAAGAGCATTGAGCATCCTGATACATGCGGATTTTAAGGGTCCCAGTGAAAAGAATTCGGGAAATAAAACTGAAATGAATTATTTCTACTATATCTCCTATGCCCGTCTGAATTATAATTGTTAAATTTCAGTAGATAACGTGAATGCAAGCATCATCAGTCTACTTACAATGCCCAAATAAAAATCGTATCAGAGCAGAAACGTTGATTTGACTCTCATCTGGATATTTTCAAAATAGCCTTGAGCGACACTTAATCAATTGCTCTCATTCGTGAACACTAGAGCAGCGCTTATAAACCTGTGGAACATGTTCCACTAGTGGTGAATTTCATGATTTGCGGTGTTACACAAGAACACAAAGACACACTGAAAACGCAAAAATATACCTTCTAATTGGTTATTGTACGTACAGTCGTCTTCAGAGATCATGTCGCACATGGACGGTATCAGCTCCCTTGATCACTGCTACAATAAAAGCGCTCATTCCGTCCAACTGCGAAATATTCGCTGAAGACGACTGTACCTCCATACCTGAATGATATAATTGTTGACTTCTATTTCATCTCTTGTTCCGAATCAGAGCATGTGAATTTCATTCAATTGAAAATCCTTGATAGATAATTATTTTAGTTAGGTAGTACTTTGAATCATCCCAAGGATTTTGTGGTACATTACTCCAGAAGGTTGGTAACCGCTACTCAAGGGAGTATGAGATGTAATGTCAGACTTTGTTTCATATCTTGGAGCGCACGAATGAGAATAAATTCCATATTCGTGAAACATCGCGTTTACCTAGGAAGGATAGGAAAGAAAGGTAGGTGTTGGATTTTTTTTTCATCTCAGGAGCTTATGAGTTCTTAGGAATAGTTCCATTGGCAAAGAATGCCAGAGCTCTGCCGTTTCATAGACGAACAAGTGTTCTTCGACATTTTTCAAGGTTAACGATGGAAGGATGTGCTGACTGGGCCTGTCAAGTTTGTCTGACTGGTATCGCTAATGATGGAATTATGACAGAGATGTTTGATGAGAATATCTGTCTAATTATCTATAGAGAAATGAAAGGTCGTGTGAATAAACTAGTTTTTATTCAATTATGTGAAATCTGCTGAATTCAAATTTGAAAAATTTCAATTCAATTGAATATTGATCATCGCGACAAACTCTTATGATCATATGAATTGTGAATAATGAGGTGTCAAGTTGATAGTTAGAATTATAAAGGAACATTTCATTTCATAATTCCAAGAGCGTGCAAATAAAAGCATTCAATTGATTTTTCTTCTGAAATTTTGATTCATTTTTTTTCAAATTTTCAGTTATTGCTGGCTAGGTTTCTCTGTCTGTTAATTTTATTCAACGCATCAGAGACCTTCTGATGATTTCACCTTACTCAAAGCCTAAGTAGATAACGGTGAAGTCAACAGTACTGCCCATTTAACGTTACGTCGACGTGTTTAAAGAAGCTGCGCAACCAAATATAAGTCGCGTGCTTGTCGCGTGGCAACCTCAACACAACGTTTTAACAACCCTCGTTTGCACCAATTTGGTCAATCATTTTCGAATACTCGAAGCGTTCCTGTTTCAGTTATAGGTATCAGTCTGTGGTTACGTGAACGTTGCTAGATTGACTCAACAACTACCGCACAACTGCGCCCTCTCGCACATGACAGTTTACTCTAAATGGTGTTCAGAAATTGGCATATTTCTCAACCAGATCATCACCGAGAACCAGAATGAAAAAACTTTCAGACAACTATGGCGGCATATGTCAATAACAAGATGTTTCATTCTCAAATACCATATTCATATTGTCGAAAAATGACGATTGGAGACAAAAATTACCAGCGCATTCAATTTTACAGTCTACCATACCATCGTTTCATGCCAAAAAACAAGCACGCTTTCCATCTGTTGCAAATTCTTTCAAATTCAGAGATTACAAAAAATTCAAATCTCGATTCAATAAAAAATGAAAAGTATTGATATTGAATCAAACGTGAAATAAACAGGATATTCATGAATAGTTCCTGGGTGACTGAAATATGGCAATGATACTTCTGAATATGTTTGTTCATTTGCCAAATTTCAATGGTCGACCATTTTTACAAAGAGAATTACACTTCAAAAATGGCGTAGGAGTATTGTAGGAATTAACGCGATTTTGGATATCAGGAAACTGAAATATATACTAACTCACTACTTTAGTTTGCTGGGACTATCAACTTCATACCCGAAGCGCGACTGGAATTACGTATCCGACCGCAAACTGAACATAGTCCAACTACTCAACTACTCCACCCTGCTCAACATTGTTGAACGCGCCCCTCCGTATCATTCAGCATGTCATTTGTGTTTGATGCCGTTTGTCATCGATCAGCAAGCATTGATGTGAATTCTTTTTTTTTATCTCGTATTCTCGTATTCTTCATTTTCTCTATCATATACCACTGATTTTTTTTTGGAATCTGGGATAAAAAAATATCTAAGAGATAATGGCTGCCCATTTCGGAGTTGAAATCATGAAAATCACGCAGGAGGAAGAACCGATCCCACACCAATGAAAAGAAAATGGAACATGGTACTGGCCCCTACGAAAGGGCAAGTTGGTGATGGTTCCTGCATTAGAAATCAAACTCTACAAACTCTTTGTCTTCATGTAGGCTTGGACCTGTAAAGTTCCTTAACGAGATAATCTCTTCTTTTGCCTGTGATAGGAGACAGTGTATTTGAAGAATCGGTTTATTCTCAATTTTGGAAGCCTTCTACAAGGCTTCTTTCAACACATGATTTGAATATCTGTATTTCTGGAGATGACTCTGCGAAATTAATTTCTCAATCCACCCCAGCTTCAGGTAGATCTCACAAGGTCGGCTCTTCGTCGGAAAAACATTCAAATAATGTCACTCAACCGTAATTAGAACGTCATCTTCATTTCCAGAATACTTACTACTTTGTTAATGGTTGGGTGAACGTTGTAACATCGTTGTAGTTTAACTAGAGTCATGCTGAACATTGGGACGACGTTGTTCGTTGGTTTAGAGAGCGTCGGTTGATGAATGATTAATTCCAACACTAGTTGCAACGTTAGGTTTGGTGTATTATGTGGTTGTCGTCGCCAAATTGCTAGTTGGGTGGTCTATCATATTGGATCAAGAATGACTCTACATTACATACATACATACATACATACATACATACATACATACATACATACATACATACATACATACATACATACATACATACATACATACATACATACATACATACATACATACATACACACATACATACATACATACATACATACATACATACATACATACATACATACATACATACATACATACATACATACATACATACATACATACATACATACATACATACATACATACATACATACATACATAAATACATACATACATACATACATACATACATACATACATACATACACACATACATACATACATACATACATACATACATACATACATACATACATACATACATACATACATACATACATACATACATACAAACATACATACATACATACATACATACATATATACATACATACATACATACATACATACATACATACATACATACATACATACATACATACATACATACATACATACATACATACATACATACATACATACATATATACATACATACATACTTACATACATACATACATACATACATACATACATACATACATACATACATACATACATACATACATACACACATACATACATACATACATACATACATACATCCAAACATAGCAAGTCAAATGAAAGCTTCTGAAGTGAAAATTAACGAGATGAGGTGTTGTTCCGAATCAAATTGTATATCAGCAAGATAAATGATGTTGAAGCAATGAAACATATTTTGAGACAGTATGCTCACTCACCAGATCTTCCAGGTATTGATGGACATTGAAGGAGTAATCGTTACTTCAGGTGCTTCTGACTTGGCTGAAAGCAAACACTGCATTCGAAGTTTCAACGTCTGATGACGTTACGGCATGCATGAAACGTTACGTTCTGAAATTTTCCATATCGAAGGTAAAAGGGCTATCTCAGTGATAGAGTTGGATCATTTCCAGTAATATACGCCTGCCAGCCTCTTGGATTGCATCGGGAGAAAATCCTATGATGTTCAAAAAATATCATGCGTACCTAACGAGGATAGAGAGATGAGGTAGTTGTTGAAAGGTTTTTTGAATTTTTGGAGGTTATAGATTCTTAGA